TCTGACATTTTTACCTCTGACATTTTTACCTCTGACATTTTTTCCTCTGACATTTTTTCCTCTGACATTTTTACCTCTGATATTTTTTCCTCTGACATTTTTACCTCTGACATTTTTACCTCTGACATTTTTTCCTCTGACATTTTTACCTCTGACATTTTTTCCTCTGACATTTTTACCTCTGACATTTTTTCCTCTGACATTTTTACCTGGCACCGTCAGTCCGATTGGCAAGTTATACGCTACAAATAGAAAACGAAGTAAATGACAACCGTATATGAGAAAAGATTTAATTGAAATCTCGTTCATACGGCTTCATCAGGAATTGATGAATTTATTCAATTTATTCAATCAACAGCATCATAGAAATGCAGTGTGCCAAATGCAAAACCTCGGCGTTAAAGTGCATCGAGCAAAAGCGCAAAAGTGCAAAAAAGAAGTAGAGAGACAGAGAGGATAATAACCCGGGTAGCAAGCCCATGTGGGACCCACATGGGTCCCATATTTTGTGAAACATGGGCCCCATATGGAAAACCATTTGGGGCCCTAAGGCATCTGCACCCAAGAAACATATGGGACCATTTTGGTAAACCCATATAAGACAGATGGGACCCAGATGAGACCCATACCAAACTGGGACAAGAGTCAAGACTAACATTTAGCATGTTATAAATTTTATTACCACTCTTATACTCTCTGAAATGTTATCTTTATTGAGGGTTAATTGAAAAAGTTAATAACTTGGAAGGGAGGGGGTGCAACCTGCCACACGCTTCTTCCTCTTGGTTGCTTTGATCCATTGCCGACAATATTTAAAAAAACCTTTCATCCCCCCCCCCCCCAACCACGGATACCAATCGACACCCTTGAGTATATAATTCAAAAGAGGTCAACACAGCTTATCTCAATTTGTGTAGTTCTTTCTCTATATCCTTTGTTATAATAGGAAAGAGGGAAGCTGCTGACAAAACATGGATATCTCGAGGGATCATGAAATCTATACGTGTAAAATATACAATGTATTCAAAAGATATTAAATCAAATCATCGACAGGATCTAGTTGATAAGTACAAAAAGTACAGAAATATACTGACCACTCTACTAAGAAATGCAAAGAGGAATTACTATTGTGATTCTTACTTTTTAAAGTATCGATTGTAGTAGTAAATTCATTATTTTTGTTTTATTACGTTTTCTAAACTGATTTGTACCAAAACACTTGGTTTAGTTAGTTATTAAAGAGGTTGAATAAACACATGTATTCCTTTTTCATGAACTAAAGGCATGATTTAACAACAATTTATTTTAATGATAGTGAAGTTCGCAAACCCAGAATTTCATGTGTTTTCCAACCAGATGATAACATTAATCGTCTGTTTTGAAAACACAAGGAAGTCCGGTATGTTTTTATCACCACATGGCAATTGTATGCAAATTGATTTGTGTTGTGGTTTAAGGAACTTTTGATCTTGAACACTGTTTAAGTCACGTCTTTGAAGATGATCGACTCTGCAGATTTATCGGGTTTTTCCACTCTTCCTGTTGTTTGTTCGAACACCACACATTTTTTTTTTAATTGAACAGAGTCTCAAATGATAGCAATTATCCGGGTGTTGGGCACTCAAGATTCTTTCATGTTGCAGGTTTATTTCTATATCATTGGCAGTAGAATATAAGGGAAAATCTATATCTATGGAGAGGACTGGTCAGACAAGACCACTCTACCACTCTACTAAGAAATGCACAAAGGAATTACTATTGTGATTCTTATTTTTTAATGTATCGATTGTATTAGTAAATTCATTATTTTTGTTTTGTTACGTTTTCTAAACTGATTTGTACCCAAAAAAATTGTTTAGCTGTTTAAGAGGTTGAATATACACATGCATTCCTTTTTCATGATCTAAAGGCATGATTTAACAACAATTTATTTTAATGATAGCGAAGTTCGCAAACCCAGAATTTCATGTGTTTTGCAACCAGATGATAACAATCATCGTCTGGTTTGAAAACACAAGGAAGTCCGGTATGTTTTTATCACCACATGGCAATTGTATGCAAATTGATTTGTGTTGTGGTTTAAGGAACTTTTGAAATTGAACACTGTGTGCATTAACAGGATCAGTCACGTTTTTGAAGCTGATCGACTCTGCAGGTGATTTATCGGGTACTTCCACTCTTTTATTTTATGGTGTGTTCATTCTCTTTTCTATGAATATTACATGTATCAAAATTATCTCTAGCAGTTATAAAAATCTCGAAACATCAGCAATCCAGTTGGCAGGTTACACAATGACATAGATATGATGAATTATAATGTTTTGATCAAAAGTCTAGAAACCATCAAAAAAATTGTAAGATAATAAATGTAAGTAATAATTTATCAGGCAATTTTCCTGATCATTATTCGGAAAAATAGACAGTGTTATGTACTTTTTGTTGTCAATTTCTAAATCGTTTAATCGATTAATTTCACTCAATATCTGTTTTTTACCTGTGAAAAGGTAGCAAATATTTGGAGGGACTGCGGTGACCTTTTTGCTCTATCAGCGTTAAAAAATCTACATTGCAAGAAATTCATATCGGGATAAAAAGATCCAATGTGGGAGAAGAACAACTGTTAAATCACATTATTATTCTTTTAACAAAACATATGATTTTTAAATATAGTTCAACTAAAAATAGACCCCCAATTCCTCAAGAAATAAAAAAAAGAATTATAGAAAATAGGCAAGAAGAAAAGGAATTAGCGGGGGAGAGAGGCACTTTAACACTACACTTCAGAAAATGAGACAACTTCCACAGTTAAGGACGGCGAGGCAAATACTTCTTTCTCAGACTCAGACATTTTTTTTAAAAATATATAATTTGGTCTTAAGGAAAAGAAAGAGATAGGATTTCCAACAAATATGTAGATGTGAATGCTCGGGCAGGGAGGGGGGATTTGTTGAGCTTTGGAATGAAGGGGGGAGGGGGATATGTCAGTTTGTATGTGTGTCTGAGTATGTGAGCGTGTGTGGTGTGTCTGTCTGTCTGTATGTAACTCTTTGATTTATAATATTCATTCATTATAATTACATGTAAACATTATGTACTGTGTATTAAACTATCTTATGTATTTTTTGAGAGATGTACAATTTTCTTTATATTTTGATATATGTAAATCAATGAAGCTGTATGTTTGTTTGTTATATATTTTGTACTGAATGAATACAATAAAACAATACTACAAAAAAAAATATATAATGAGCTCTCTCGCTCTCTCTCTCTCTCTCTCACTCTCCCTCTCTCTCACACACACACACACACACACATCCCCCCCCCCCCCTACTCCGGGAACGGACAAAGAAAAAGATCTACCCGTATTGACTTTACACACCGAACTTATGCTGAAAAGGCTCGTATAACAAAAGAAAAAGATCTACCCGTATTGACTTTACACACCGGACTTATGCTGAAAAGGCTCGTATAACAAAAGAAAAAGATCTACCCGTATTGACTTTACACACCGGACTTATGCTGAAAAGGCTCGTATAACAAAAGAAAAAGATCTACCCGTATTGACTTTACACACCGGACTTATGCTGAAAAGGCTCGTATAACAAAAGAAAAAGATCTACCCGTATTGACTTTACACACCGGACTTATGCGGTGGTCACATCCCGCCGTACTTGCAAGTGCGTGCTGTCTACGTGTAAAAACGTGGGCAAAATGTGGGTATCCGTACGTGGTGGGTACCGCCTCCGTACGGATTTGGGAGCACGCAGACACACCGTAGCACTTTTAGTGCACGAGGAACTTTCGCTGCCTTCGGGCTACCGATTCACCCCAAGTGTGTGTGACGTGCGTGCCCGGTACTGCCAACGAGCGCACAACGCACTGACTCCGTGCGTCTTTTAAAGGCGCACGTGATAAGTGTGTGGTCCGTGCTAACTCGCCACTTCCCCAGTTTAGCTATCCAATGAGCACGCAGAACTCACGTGGACCGTACCGAGTAAGCACTTACAACGCACGTTGTTCGCACTGATGCAGTAGATAGTCTCTTCGGTGGAATGGGCGGCATCTTGAGGCAGCAACAGCTGGGACTTCTGGAGAACATCGGAATGTCGTCCTATATATAAACACGAGTTCATCGCACGTGCACGCACTTACAACATGCGAGTGAGTAAGGACACCGTACGTGAGCAGCACTTGTAAGTACGGCCTCCGTACGATAACGTGGCAACCGCACGGAGACTGTACGTTGTAAGCACGTACAACGCACTTACCACGTGCACAACGTACGATGCACGCAACCGTTCACTAAAAGTGCTACGGTGTGTCTGCGTGCTCCCAAATCAGTACGGAGGCGGTACTCATCACGTACGGATACCCAAATTTTCCCCACGTTTTTGCACGTAGACAACACGCACTTGCAAGTACGGCGGGATGTGACCACCGCATTAAAGCGTTGGTCACATCCCACCGTGCGTGTTTTTAGTCCGTACGGTTTTTGGGGAGGCCACGGCCGCCACGTTTTCTGAAAGCGTAGGGAGGGAGTGGCAAAGGCAGGGAGGGAGTACCGGCAAAGCACGTCACACGCACGGTGTAAGTACGTGGCCCGCACGCCACGCCTGGCCGTGAGCGGTTGCGTGCATCGTACGTTGCGCACGAGGTAAGTGCGTTGTACGTGCTTACAACGTGCTTACAACGTGCTTATAACGTACGGTCTCCGTGCGGTTGCCACGTTATCTTATGGAGGCCGTACTTACACGTGCTGCTCATGTACGGTGTCCTTACTCACTCGCACGTTGTAAGTGCGTGCACGTGCGATGAACTCGGTGAGTCGGGGTATGTCGGAGTATATAGGACGACATTCCCATTTTCTCTAGAAGTCCCAGCTGCTGCTTCAAGTGGCAGCGCATGAGCACGACGTGGTATTACTTGCCTTGATACGGGAGAGAGAAAGGCAACAGAGACGCCGACGCAGGAGATGGTGGGTTCGCCCATGGATCGAAAGGATGAGGCTTTTCGGGCAGTACGAAACGTTGTTCCAAGAGCTAGAGCGTGAATCGCGGGGGATCGACTATGTCGGATACATCCGAATGGACCCCAATCTCTTCGCCGAGCTCCTGCTCCGAGTGACCCCTCGAATCACCAAGTGCCCAAGGTGTGTGTCTTCATTTCTGCCATAACAAATTCTTGAATTTGCTTTGTATTTGCTTTAAAATGTTGTCTTTTTTCTTTTGGAAGCTTCCCGTTGCTCATTTAAGAATGATTTCATTGACAAAAGGAGTAAATTTTGCAAATCACAACTTTTCAGTAAAATGGCCATAGAATCAAAACGCCTTCATGAAAAATGATGATTTTGGTGGCAAATAAAACTTGAAGTGTCTTTCTATCAAATACTATAAACAATAATTGTATTCAGTCATTCATGTCTTTGTAATTAAGGGTCAGTTTTGTAGCACTCTTTCTGGGCCACCCAAACGATATTAATACATTATATGTTTCAGGAGTCGCCGCCCTCTTGAGCCTGGCCTGAAGCTAGCCATCACCCTTCGCTTCTTGGCGACGGGGAACAGCTACAGGTCCCTTGCCTACGACTTCCGGGTGGCACACAACAGCAAATCCACGTTCGTGCCGGAGGTCTGCTCCGCCATCTACGAGGAATATAAGGAGGAGATGTTCAACATGCCCTCCACACAGGACGAGTGGAAAGCCGTCGCCCGCCAGTTTGGAACGCGATGGAACTTTCACCACTGTTGTGGGGCGATCGACGGGAAACATATCGCCATCAAGGAGCCCAATAAAAGTGGATCGCTCTATTACAATTATTATTATAAGCTCTTCTGTTCTGTGGTGCTCCTTGCCATCGTGGATGCTAACTATTCCTTCTTGTGGTGCAAGGTGGGGGCCAACGGCTCTTCCTCAGACCCAGGCGTGTTCAACGAGTCCACCCTCCGGGGGGCACTGGAGGACAACACCATTGGATTCCCAGCACCGGATCCACTTCCAGGCGACGACCGGGACTTTCCCTACTTCATCGTAGGCTATGATGCTTTTCCCCTGCGAAAGTGGCTCTTGAAGCCTACAGTCGCCGTGCCATGACCCACAAAGAGAGAGTGATGAACTATCGGACCTCTCGGGCCCGTCGGGTTTTGGAGAACGGCTTCGGGATATTGGCTCACCGGTGGCGGCGCCTACTCACCACCCTGCAGTTGGAGCCTGGCAGGGTGATTCGCGTTGTGTTGGGCTGCCTCACCCTTCACAATTGGCTGCGAAAGCGCCGGCCCAGACTACAGGACCTTAATTTGGACCGTGAGGATGAGGATGGCAACGTGGTCCCCGGGGCCTGGAGGGAGGATGTGCAGATGACCGAACCCAACCAGATGGTCGGCCAACGGGCCTCAAGGGAAGGGAAAACCCTGAGAAACTATCTAGCGGACTATTACCAGCAGCACCCTCCTCATGATCAGACTCTTTGGCGTCACCATCTGACTCTTTTTTGCTCCTCCTCTCATCTTCCTCTCTGGCTCTCTCATCTTCCGCGGCCCGTTTCTGTTGGGCCTTTTGACCCCTTATTTTGTGTCCTCTTCGGCGCCATCTTGGAGACGAAATGTTGGCACTCTTCCGTCGGCTCTGCTTTTATATACTACATAAATCAGTGCGCACAACGTGCGTTGTAAGTGCGGAGCACGTGCTTACTCGGTACGGTCCACGTGAGTTCTGCGTGCTCATTAGAAAGTTGAACTGGGGAAGTGGCGAGTAAGCACGGACCAAGCACTTATCACGTGCGCAGCATGCACGTGCTAAGTGCGCCTTCCGTAGAGCAAGTGACCGTGGGAAACAAATTTAAAAACGCACGGAGTCAGTGCGTTGTGCGCTCGTTGGCAGTACCGGGCACGCACGTCACCCGCACTGGGGGTGAATCGGTAGCCCGAACGCAGCGAAAGTTCCTCGTGCAATAAAAGTGCTACGGTGTGTCTGCGTGCTCCCAAATCCGTACGGAGGCGGTACTCACCACGTACCGATACCCAAATTTTGCCCACGTTTTTGCACGTAGACAGCACGCACTTGCAAGTACGGCGGGATGTGACCACCGCATTAGGCAGCGACAGCTGGAACTTCTGGAGAACATCGGAATGTTGTCCTATATATACCCCGACATCGGGCAGAAAAAACTCACCGAGTTCATCGCACGTGCACGCACTTACAACGTGCCGTGAGTAAGGACACCGTACGTGAGCAGCACGTGTAAGTACAGCATCCGTACGATAACGTGGCAACCGCACGGAAACCGTACGTTGTAAGTACGTACAACGCACTTACCACGTGCGCAACGTACGATGCACGCAACCGCTCACGGCCAGACGTGACGTGCGGGCCACGTACTCAGGGGCGTACGCAGGGGGGGGGGTTTGGGGGTTCAAACCCCCCCTTTGGTATTTAAATGTATGTAAACCCCCCTAAAAAAAACTAAACCCCCCCCCCTTTGGCTTTTTTATTTTTTATTTTTTATTATAAAAAAAAAAAAAAAATTATACCCACGGCTAACCTAGATAAGGTGACCTTACCCCCCCCCCCCCCCAACGAAAAAAAATGTCAAATTTTGAAATTTTGAGACAAAAAAAAAAAAAGTGTCCGCTTACCCCCCCCCCCCCCCCCCCCCCCCCCCCCCCCACTGAGCGACTTTTCGGCCGGCGCGATTTTCAAACTTTCGGGAGCAAAATATTTTAAACCCCCCCCCCCCTTGAAAAAATCCTGCGTACGCCCCTGCACGTACTTACACCGTGCGTGTGACGTGCGTTGCTGGTACTCCCTCCCTGCCTTTGCCACTCCCTCCCTACGTTTTCAGAAAAACGTGGCGGCCGTGGCCTCCCCAAAAACCGTACGGACTAAAAACACGCACGGTGGGATGTGACCAACGCTTTATGCTGAAAAGGGGGTGCTGGGAACACGCATATGCGTACCCTAAATAACACTGAGTGGGGGGCCGGGCATACAGTAAATGGTCCAAAGTGGGGACATGGGTGTGTCGACTAATGTCCCCACAATGAAGGAATTTGCGTACATGTAACTCCTTCTTTGTGGGGACATTTGTCCGTTCCACACCCACGGTCCAAACTAAAGTGGGGATGTCATACACATGTATACACTTCGTTTAACCATACACATTGATTATGGGCATGAAACAAAAATACCGATAAGTCACTAGAGGGCGCTATTGACATAAATTGTTTGCCTTTTTTAGGATAATGATCATTGGCTAGAGAGGTTTCCTTTGTCAATTACTGATGTTATGGGTCATATAACTTGAGACATTCCTCAGAGCCTGCAGTGGGTAAATTTTTTGTCTGAAGATGTTGAAACTTAACAGGTGATGGGTGCATACGCAAATACTCTTTGTTATTAATTTGACTCGTGGTTTCGCTCCTCTTTATGGCCCGAACCAAAAATGAGCCCCAAGTGTGCGAACAGACAACTTTTTATTCATTGCGTCACATGTTTCCGAACTGATAATGCAGATGATTTGAGATTGTAACAGTTTTGGTTAGCCAAAATGGACGTACAATGAATCTTACATTGGGGCAGAATTTAAGGGGAGTCTGATATTTAAACAGGTGTTCGGATTCATATAAAAAATACCCTCTAGGGGGGGGGGGCAAAACCAAAGCCATGAGATTCATATCAGTTTTGCCAAGAAACAGGCAACACTAAGCTATATTTTATACCGTGTGAGTCAAAAAAAAGTTTACACCTTAAAAATTGCTAATTATTTTTAAAAATCATCTAAATGAAGAGTAAATTATAATACATCTAATGAAAGAGTGTTTTATCCCAAATCATTTGGTATCATTTTTGTGTGCTATGTGTTCACGCTTGGATGAACAGGAGGCATTGTTTGCGAGAATGCAAAAATCACTTGCGCCAAAGTGATGCCTACAGCATGTATTATGTTAGGATTAGCGGAGTGAGAGAATAAATTCAATGTATCAAATGAAATGCATTGCATATGCTTTTTGCAGAAGAAAAGTCACACACGCACAAATGTTCGTTGATATTCGATATTTGATATGTGTGGCATGATTAATTTTGTTAAGAAAGTTATTTGGATCTGCAAAAACCGATTTAATACCCAAATCCCAATTGTTTTATATAAACATCACATAAGCAACTTTGGCGACACCTGTTCATCCAAGCGTGAACACATACCACACCAAAATGATACCAAATGGTTTGGGATAAAACACTCTTTCATAAGATGTATAATAATTTACTGTTCATAGATGATTTTTAAAATAATTAGAAATTTTCTAGATGTAAACTTTTTTTTGACTCACACTGTATAGGATTTCCCGGCCACATTCGCGTGTTTGTCATTCGAATTCATTTACTTTGCATTTAAGTTAGCGCAGATCGGCTTTGCCATGCCAATTATCATTCAATTTTCCAGTTTTTGTATTTGATTTAGAATTTTGGTCGAAGGGTTTCATAGATCTGTCATTCAATTTAGAAACTGCTCAACTAGCATTCAAATTAATATTCACTTGTCGAAGCGTAATTTCTACCATTTAAATTAACACCTGTCATTCGTATTCGTAATATTTGTATTCAAGTTAGGAATGTTAGGATGAAGAATTGCAACAAAATTTTACAGTTGTTTAAATAATGCATTTAAAATGCATGATTTGCCATTGGGGTCTAAGCTGTTTTAAGCCATTTATTTATTTTCAGGACAATGCAGATGGATGTAGTCAGACATAAAGTAAAGAAGGGGCGAAATCAAGGGATATGGCATTTCTGCACGGACATATTCATATACCCGGGAAAGGTGGGGGTACCCTCAATCGCCCCTTTTTACTACAGACTCGGAATTTTACAAAAGTAATTCATATCGTCTCTTGTACCCAGCACACCCCTCTGTTTTTCTTAAAGAGTTTCATAGTCTACTTGCCCGCCAGCAGATCGATGGCTAAGGACATGGCTAAATAATGAATCATGTTCAAATTGTTGACTCTAGTCCCTACCCCAGTCACAATATTGTACCCTTCTTCCATAATAAAATTATGATGAAATTATGATAAATATGATGAAACATAAGACAAACAACTTCCTTACATGAACATTTACAAATATAATGAGACCATCAGGTCCGTAGATGCAAGTCGTTTTTTTCTTCTTAACAATCAAACTTAAATGCTGATGTATATCAGATAAATCTTATAAGTATAAGTGTATAAATGCAAGAAAATGAAATATGATAAAATACACATGAAAAAACAATCTTGAAAGAAAATGAATGAGCTAAAAAAAGCGTGTAATAAACGAGAAATGTATATAGTACATCGTTTTTAAAAGATATGGATTCAATTAATAGAGTTTTTCAAAAACTTTGTAAAAGTAAGTGGATTGAAAAAAATATGGATAAGACAATTTTTATTTGGTTAGGAGAGGAAAGTGATTGGCCGGGTTTACCTCTTTTTGGACATTGGGTACAACATATATAAATCCTAGGGGTATATTTTGTACGTCAATCCAAAATAAAAGATGATTTGAACTATAAGGACATTTTGAGCAAAATCAAAAGACCAATCGGTTGGTGGAAGCAACGTGATTTAAAGATGTTTGTCAAAAATTAGATTGTTGAAAATATATGTATTTTTTAAAGCTAAATTATGTTTCGTCTCGTATGCTAGTCCCACAGAACATTTTAGAAGAAATCGAAAAGATTTCTTTTGATTTTTTTAGGGGGAGAGACAGAATAGAACAGAAAATATTATATCAAGATTACTGCGCTGGGGGACTCAGGGTAACGAATTTTAAGGTATTTGTCAAGACTCGGAGAATAATGTGGATCAAACGGTTGCTCTATGGAGAAAAGTATTCAGGTTGGAAAGTAACCTTTGACCACTTTTCCAGATTACTGGGGGTCGAATTATATTTCTATGTAATTATTATATAAATAAAATGGACTTGAAGGGTATACCATCGTTTTATAAAGACATGTTGAAAGCATGGCAAGAATTAAATAAATGCAGACATTTTTGAGAAAATAACAATAATCCGATTATATTTAGTATAGGATTTCCCGCCCAAATTCGCGAGTTTGTCATTCAAATTAATTTGTCTTGCGTTCAAATTAGACGGTTTTAGTGCAGTCAGGTATATCTCGGGTTTATATTCCCTTTTCTAGTTTTCAAATCTATGGAATTTTCGTTAGAATCTACGTTTGTTTCATTCAAATTAATGAACAATGTGATTCTTTCGCTATTTGATCATTCGATTTGGCGCAACACCATTCTCTGACAACGCGACGGTGTACTTCTAGCATTCTAATTCATTTTTAGCCTTCAAATAAGCACTTTGTGCACTTAAGTTGAAGGACAATATACATTTCTCGTTTATTACACACTTTTTATAGCAAGATTGTTTTTTCATGTGTACTTCATCATACTTCATTTTATTGTATTTATACACTTATACTTATTAGATTTATCTTATATTCATCAGCATTTAAGTTTGATTGTTAAGAAGAAAAAAACGACTTGCATCTACGGACCTGAAGGTCTCATTATATTTGTAAATGTTCATGTAAGGAAGTTGTTTGTCTTATGTTTCATCATAAATTTATCATAATTTCATCGTAGTTTTATAATGGAAGAAGGGTACAATATTGTGACTGGGGTAGGGACTAGAGTCAACAATTTGAACATGATTCATTATTAATAATAATTCTCAGTTTTTATATAGCGCAAATTACAATTAAGTCTCTAAGCGCTGTGGAAATAGAAAAAATTCAAGAAGTGAGTACAGAAGAAAGGAAATGATAAGAACATAATAGCATGATGAATATCCAAACTGAAACTACATGTACATGTATAATACATTGTATTGTATAAGGAATGGTACACGCTTACATTTGAAAAAGGTAAGACTTTAACAGAGGCTTGAATTTATCAAGAGAAGAACATTCTTTGATATTAATAGGAAGTTTGTTCCATAATTGAGGGAATGCATATTGAAATGCTCTATGCCCATATGATATTGTAGACACCGTAAAGGGGACAAACAACTGTCTTGAACTAGAACGAAGCTGCCTAATTGGATGATACTCATTGAGAAGCTGTTGTAAGTAGAGAGGAGCCAATTTATGCTGACATTTGAATGTTATTACAAGAAGTTTAAATATTAATCTATCTTTAACTAGCAGCCAATGTAAATTACGAAATATGAGGGAAACTGATTCTCGTGAATGTGTTCTAGTAATGAGCCTGGCAGCAGAATTTTGTATTCGCTGCAGTCTACAAAGCAGTGTATCAGGCAGACCGTACAATAAACCATTAGCCATGTTTAGCCATGTCTTTAGTCATCGGTCTGCTGGCGGGCAAGTAGACTATGAAACTCTTTAAGAAAAACAGAGGGGTGTGCTGGGTCCTTGCAGACGGGCATCTTTCCAGCTTCCCTCAAGTCCTCGCTCGTCATTCCCACACTGAAAAAAACCCAGTTTAGAACCAGAGAGCCTCAATCACTACCGCCCCATATCTAATCTACCATTTCTTGGAAAAGTGATTGAACGTGTCGTCTGTAAGCAACTAATGTCATACCTTGATGGAAACTCTCTTCTGGCGTCTAGGCAGTCTGCCTACAGGCAGTATCACAGTGTGGAAACAGCCCTAGTAAGAGTCCAAAATGATCTTCTCCAAACTTTGGATAGCAGAAATGAAGCTGTTATGTTCTTATAAAAGACCAGTTGGAGAGCTTTGATTGAACTAATAAGTTGTATAGCTTTATTGAGGCTCTATGTCAGTCAGACATCTTTGTAGGCATCTCATGTACAAGTACTCATTGTTTCATAACATGACCTGGCATGAGTCATGGGTTGCAGGTCATTCTATATTTAGTTATACATGCTAGTCTGTATTTGCAGACTCTGTTAAACTACATGTAGCTATCACTACACCTCCCTTCTTTAAAAGAGGTTTACATATACATATATAAAACTTCTTAAACTGTACAGAGTGACAGGGTGGACTACCTGTACACTCGCGACTGTACTAGGGCATTATTCTGTCCCTTAAAGCTGGAGTACTGTCGCTTTCAAATATATAACTTATTACGCGACAGTCCATATCTTTCAAGGTTGCGATTCGCGAAACTGGAATTCTCCGTTGAGGTTGAGTGATATCTGTTGATTTTTGTAATCAAAGTGACTGATTAAATCCGGTTATATTTTTAAACTATAACATGCAAATATATGTGTCATGCTTATGCAATCCTGCAGTTATGTTATAAAGTCCAAGTTGAACTCTGTAACTATAAACTATTTACAAAACGCGAAAGTCTTTCTCTGTAGTTCGCTTTCATTTATTTACAAGTTCAAGCGATCTGGCGGTTTAATAACTCGTCCGCTTCTGGTTCTGGTTGATGACGTAGTTGAGCTTTCTTCAGATGCTGGTTGCTCTGTAGCTTCTGCAGTGTCATCTAGCTCGAAGTCATCCTGTGTTGGTAGTGGAATAGACTCGGCTTGTTGTTGACGTGGGACTGGCCTGAGGTGACGTCTGTTTCTGCGACGCATCTCTCCTGTTTCTGTCTCGATCTGGTATGATCTGTTTCGATCCTGGACAGACCTGACAATACCACGTTTCGACCAGGTGTTGGTTTTCATGTCTTGGAGTATCACATGATCTCCAGGCTTTAGCTTTGACAAGTCTCGAGCATGTTTGTCGAATCGCTCTTTTTGCTTCACCTTATGATCCTCCTTTCTTCCCCTCACCAATCGAGTATTGACCTAGCTGTTGGTTGTCGAGTAAACTGTCAAGCATGGGGAGATTCGATCGAAGTCGACGATTGTAGAGGAGTTCTGCCGGAGACTTTCCGCATGCTAGTGGTGAACTGCGATAGACTTGTAGAGCTCTGTGGATATCCTGTCCATTGTGCTGTGACTTCAATATGAGTTTTTTTACAATCTTCACAGCATTCTCTGCGAGGCCATTGGATTGCGGATAATATGGACTCGATGTAGAATGGTGAAAATCCCATTCTTTTGCAAAGCTCTGGAACTCTTGGCTTGCAAATTGAGGACCATTATCCGACATGAGTTCACATGGCGTTCCATGGCGAGCAAATACTGCTTTCATGTGGTTGATCACGGCCTTGCTACTAGTAGAAGTCATAGTACATACTTCAATGAACTGTGAATAGTAGTCGACGATGACCATGTACTCTCTATTGTTCAGCGTGAACAAATCAACAGCAACTTTTCCCCACGGGCGGTTCGGCACGTCATGAGGATGTAGACTTTCAGCTAGCTGTTTTGGTCTGTACATTAGGCATGAAGTCCAACTTTGGACCATTTCAGTGATGTCTGTGTTGATTCTGGGCCAATAGATGACTTCTCTAGCACGTTTCTTACACTTCTCGATGCCTAAGTGTCCTTCATGGATTTTGTTTAGCATGAACCTTCTCATAGTAGTGGGAACCACTATTTTGCTGCCTTTGAAGATGATGCCATCTGCTTCAAAGAGTTCACTCCTGATGTTCCAGTATTCCCTGACTCGAACTGGACATTGCTGCTTCGTTTCCGGCCAACCATCTCTGATGATGCCTAGCAGCTCTTGCAGTTGATCATCTTTCTTTGTCTCTTCGACACTCTGATTTCGTTTGTTCGATGTAACTGGCATGCTCTTGACAATAGCATCTACGTAGACTCTGATATCTTCCTCAGTTTCAGCATTCAACTCAGCCTTTGGATCTACTGCTCTGGACAATGTATCAGCAGTATACATGTACTTTCCAGGCGTGTACAAGACCTTGAGATCCTATCTCTGTACCCTGATGAGTAACCTTTGAATGCGTAGGGGACAGTCACCCAGTGACTTTACAAACAGTGGAATAAGTGGCTTGTGATCAGTCTCCACTTCTACTTGTTGTCCATAGATGTATTGATGGAATCTTTCACATGCGTATGTGATTGCCAGCAATTCTTTCTCGATCTGTGCATATCTAGTCTCTGCATCAGTCATTGATCTAGATGCATATGCGATCGGAACCCAATCTTGATCATATTGCTGTAGTAGCACTGCACCAATACCATCCTTTGATGCGTCTGCTGACAGCTTGGTTGGTTTCTTGCTGTCATAGAAATGTAGGACTGGCTCTTGTATCAGAGCTTGTTTCAACTGATTCCATGCATCCTCTTGTGCATGATCCCATGTCCATACATTCTTTTTGTCTAGTAGATGTCTCAGTGCTGCTGACTTGGTCGACAGATCTGGAATGAACTTCCCTTGGTAATTGATCATACCCAAGAACCGTTGGACATCTTTCCGACATTTCGGTCTCTCAATGTTCAAGATAGCAGACACTTTCTTTGGATCAGGTTGGACTCCTTGTATCACTGATCAAGTCACCAATGAATGTGAGCTTCTTGACATTGAACTCGCATTTGTCTTTGTTCAACTTGAGATTCATTTTTCTCACAATGCTGAGAACCTCTCTCAACCTGTCATCATGCTCCTGTTGGGTAGTTCCCCATACAATCACATCATCCATCATTGTGTTAACTCCCGGAATGTGTGCAAACAGTTGGTGCACTATCTTGTGATAGACTTCCGGAGCACTACAAATACCAAAAGGTAGTCTCAAGAACTTGTACCTTCCGTATGGCGTGATAAACGTACAAAGCTTGGAGCTTTCGTCATCTAGTTGGATCTGCCAAAAACCACTAGACGCATCTAACTTGCTGAAGTATTTGGCTCCTGCAAAATGTGCAGTTATATCAGCTCTTGATGGCAATTGATAGTGTTCTCTTTTGATTGCTTGGTTCAGGTCTCTTGGATCTAGACAGACCCTGAGCTGACCGTTCTTTTTCATCACCACCACGAGAGAAGAAACCCAATCAGTTGGCTCATCAACTCGTGTGATTACGTCTATTCGTTCCATCTTATCTAACTCGTCTTTGAGTTTATCTTTAAGTGGAAATAGAACTTTGCGACATGCATGCTGAACATGATGTTCGTCCTCTCTCAATGTGATGTGGTGTTTACCAGGAAGACAACCTAGACCTACAAACACATCTTGATAGTCTTGAACTACACTTTTACCCGTTCCGTGTTCAGTTTGTTTCTCAACATGATACACCCGTTTCACCAGATACAAGTCTTCACTCGTCCGCAATCCTAACAAAGGCTGACGATTTCCAGGAATGACTAGACACGGCACATTGCGTTTGATCCCTTTGTACTCAACTTGTACACAACAACGACCTTTGACCGGGATATCTGTCTCATAATAACCTGTCAACATCACTTTGGCTTTTTGTAGCTTTGGTTTTGGTTTCAATTTGTGAAATACTGTCTCAGGAAGAAGATTCGCCTGAGCACCAGTATCAACCTTGAAGTCAACCGGCTGGTTATTGACTAGTAGATTAACTATCCATTCATCCTTGGATTCTTTTGATTCAACAGAGCAAATCACGAAACCCTCTGAATCTACCTCCAAGTGCTGCAGTTCATTGACCTTGGCTACTGGGGTTTTACAACATTTAGCAAAATGATTCTGCTTACCGCACTTCTTGCATGTTTGACCTTGTGCGGGACATTTGTCTTTGCTATGTCGGTTTCCGCACCTGCTACATGCATTACTTTTAGTACGACCTTGAGGCTCTGACCGTTTTGACTTTGAACCAGGAAATTTCTTCTAGTCTTGCTGAAAGAATCTACCGGAATTGAGGCGTTTTCCCCTGCGGAACTCAACGCTTGCGCCTGCGTTCGAGTTTGTTCAGCCGCACGACATACTTGCAACGTTTTAACCAATGTAAGATCATCTTGCCTCAACAAACGTTCTCTTAGACCATCGTCTAAAATACCACAGATAATTCTGTCCTGGATAAGACTCTTTTTCAACATGGAAAACTCACATGACTGAGCACGACTCCGCAATTCTGTTGCGTACTGATCAACACTCTCATGCACTAACTGAGATCTTGTGAAAAATCTATGTCTCTCATACGTTAGATTACGTTTCGGCATGCAATATTCCTCATATTTGTTCAACACTTTCTCAAGCTTCATGCTCTCACCCTCAGCAAATACAAACGTATTATACAATTCCAAGGCAGCATCGCCAATCACGTGTAGAAGCATTGATGTTTGTAACTTTTCATCTTTTTCAGACATTCCTGAGGCAACATTGTATAGAGTGAATTTCTGTTTAAATCTTCTCCAGTTCTCGGAAATATTTCCCTTTAAGTCGAGTGGAGGAGGTTGACTGAGATTTGCCATTTTGTTTCTTTTTGTTTCTTAGCCTAGTGTAGTCACTCACATGAACAGCATAACAATTAGCTTTTTCTTTTTGTATCTTTGCAACAATTACTTTAAGCTCAACTATTAACTTTCACTGAGTTATTCTGTATGTTCATGTCCCCTATATGTCACGCTTACTGCCCGTTATACTGGAACTGGCCCGGCACAGAACTATGCACTCCAATCCATACAACGACAGCGCTAACTATTAAGGACATAACTACATTCACTGGACATACACTTAGACTCTAAGCCCTCTACGGCTCTAGCTCTCATCATCTCTCACATCACAAAGAATTGGATCGAACTGGCCTGATTTCAATGATTCCTCCATATATATACTGTAAGCTGGGTTGCTCAGCACAAACACTGGCTGCTAAGTTCTGACACCATATTATATTCTTATAAAAGACCAGTTGGAGAGCTTTGATTGAACTAATAAATTGTATAGCTTTATTGAGGCTCTATGTCAGTCTTTGTAGGCATCTCATGTACAAGTACTCATTGTTTCCTAACATGACCTGGCATGAGTCATGGGTTGCAGGTCATTCTATATTTAGTTATACATGCTAGTCTGTATTTGCAGACTCTACTACATGTAGCTATCACTACAGAAGCAATCCTTGTCTTATTGGACCTTACCTCCGCATTTGATACGGTCGACCATCATATTCTTCTAACTGGGCTGAAAGAAAGATTTGGAATCACAGGCATTGGTGCTGACTGGTTAGCGTCATATCTTTCCAATCGGCAACAGCGAGTGTGGGTTGATGAAGCAACATCTGATCCAATTAGTCTTCGATGGGGGGTCCCCCAAGGATCAGTAATTGGCCCGTTGCTATTTGTATGCTATTCAAATGTATTTGTATGCTATATAAATGTCTTATGACAAGCGCTGTATAAGTAAAAGTTATTATTATTATTATTACAACTCCAGTTCAACAGATAATTCATGCACATGGCCTGTCCTGCATGATGTATGCAGATAACACACAGCTGTACATCTCTATGAACTCCGATGACAGAAATTGAGCAATCAGAAAGCTTGATGTGTGTCTTAAGGAGGTTCGAACGTGGATGGGAGGTAACCATCTCTTCTTAAATGACAACAAGACGGAAGTATTACATGTATCATCTCACATGAAGAGCAACCAGGAACTGCCACCTTTCTGCTTTGGAGAAATCAAGCCCTAGGGGTAGTCATCGACAAACATCTATCTCTTCGTCGCCACATAAATTTGGTGTGTCGCAGAGCTTCGTTCGCCTTAAGAAGAATTGGTGGTATTCGCCATCTCCTTAACCAGAAGACAACAGAAATACTGATCCATGCGTTTGTCACATCACTGCTGGACAACTGTAACAGTCTTCTCTTCGGCGTTCCTGACAAAGACATTTCCAAACTCCAACGAATTCAGAACTCTGCCGCCCGTCTTGTATCTATGTCAAGTAAATACAATCACATCACTCCCATCTTAAAGGAGCTCCATTGGTTACCTATTCCCGCACGCATCCACTACAAAGTTATCCTGCTCACATTTAAAGCAATCCATGGCCTTGCTCATACTTACCTATCCGAGTTGATAGCCCAATATCTACCAACCAGATCAGTCAGATCTGCCTCGCAAAATCTGCTAGTAGTAAATAGAAGCAGAACCAAATCTTTCGGTGACAGGTCGTTTGAATGTGCTGCACCAACCCTTTAGAACTCTCTTCCTAGCACTCTACGTGCTCAATCAAACATAGACATATTCCATAAAGAACTCAAGACATATTTGTTCAACATTTCCTTTTAATTTTGTACTGGTTCCAAAGGGTTGGTGCAGCACATACCATCTTTGTGACTGACTGAATGTTGATGTTTATTTATCTATTCATATTTTATTTTATTTTATTGCCAGGAGGGTCAAATCTGACTGACATGAGCGCTATACAAGAACCCACTATTATTATTATTATTATTATTGGGCCTTCCCTACCATTATAATAATTTTCAAATATTACATGTATCACTTTTAATAGAAGCTACTTTCGATTTTTCTAATGTATAACGTTTGCCTACTTTCTTGTAAGTTTTGATTATAATTATATGTAATTATTTCTATATATGTCTTTATTTCTATTGTCTTCTACATTTGTAAAGCCCATTGGTATTACCTTTGGTAATTAAATGCGCTATATAAGAGCTAACTATTATTATTATTATATACGAAAGAGAGCTCTTTAAATTTGGTTTTGAGTCGGACCATTTTTGTTCCTTTTGTAGACAAGAAGTAGAGACATACCAACATTTATGTTTAGATTGTCTTAAAGTTAAACGATTATGGCAGGAGGTAATTAAAAAGTTACATTTACTCGAAGTTCACAGTAATGATTGGAAACCCATTTTGGGGGGAATATCCGGCAATACTGCAAAAATATTTGTAATAAATTGTATCATATTTCTAGTAAAGAATATCATTTTTATTTTCTAAAAAACAAGGAACTCTGCCATCTGTACAGAAAGTAGTACATATGCTGAAAGATTACAGAGACGAGGAATACAGAATAGCCTTCAAAAAGGGAAAACTGGGGATGCACTTACAGAAATGGGAACAAATCAATGCATTTTTACTTTAATGGATGTGTGTATGTTTTTATTTTTGTTTTAATTCTCTCTCTTGTACAGGTGGATAAACCGGAACAGGTTGCATGTAGTGTGTGTGATGGTGTGAAGTGGTGGGAGGTGGGTGGGCTAGAGGGGAGGGAGTGTCATGAGTTTGTGTGGTGCGAGTTGAGGGTGTGCCGTGTGCGAGTGTGTGATTGGATCGGACTATGTAAAATTCATAGCTTCCTTTATTCTTGTTTTGATTGTGAACTGTTACGTGAAAGAGAAAATGTATAAACATGTATGATCTGAGATTTGTCAATGTTCATTGTTCATTGATTGATGTAATTCATGAAGTGTTTTGTATCGAAGATCTTGCTTTGTATTACTTACCGTGATGATTCTTTTGTAATGTGAATTTTATGAGGAAGGAAATCTCCGGAACTGGTTGCATGCAGTGTGTGTGTTGAAAGGGGTTGTGGTGTGGGTGGGCTAGAGGGGGTTGTCATGAGTTTGTTGGTGTGAGCGTGTGTGATAGGGTGGGACTATGTAACTTTAAACCTTCCTCTATTGTTATTTTGATTATAAACTGTTATATGCAAGAAAAAAATGTAGAATCATGTACAATCTGAGATTTTTTCTATGTTGTTCATTGATTGATGTAATTCATGAAGTGTCTTGTATCAAAGATCTTGTTTTATATTACTCATTGTGATAATTTCTTGTTATTGTGAATTTCTTGTTATGTGAATTTATGAGGAAGGAAATAAAATATAATTAAAACAAAAAAATAAATTATGATTTTAGACAGTTTTTCATTGTGGGGATATCCCTACTTTGGAGTTTGGACGATATCCCCAAAGCGTGGGTGTGGAACGGACAAATGTCCCCACAAAGAAGTATTTACATGCGCGCGCGCACACACACACACACACACACACACAAAGACGGTCAATATATATATATATATATATGGGATTCATCTATCTCGTGTTAGTGTCCTTTTTCTGCTCTTGATGTCTATTTCTCTTCTTCTTTTTTCCTGTCTCCTCTTTTTCTCCTTTTCTTAATTTTAGGTATCGTTTTCACTAGTGCCACATTTTGATTCTTTCTTGTTTACTTAATCATTAACTAATGGTAGATCTAATGTTTCTTTTTCACATGGAAGTGTTTTACTTTAGTGCAGTCGTAACAAAATTTGAACTGACAGTAGAGAAAGTGGCACAAACTCAGTAACACTATGGCCATGTGGTGTGGAGGAAGGAATGGTATTAAGACATATTAACAGTGTACTAGTGTTTCACTTTCAAAGTAACAATACTACCTTCGTAGAACGCCAGTTATAGCACACCTTGTTGGTCTTTTTTTTTTTTGGCTTTCTTCTATGATAAGAAAAGCGAGACCGATGTTAAAACTAAATAAAAGACAGCCATAACTGCCCAACAAGGTGGGCTAGACGTCAGTCTTTGTTGCCCTCTATTCCTACCTCCATCCAATCCATGCACATGATGCACTGACACAATGACAGTGACACTGTAGTCACTGTATAAACCCGATATTTTCCTTGTTAAGTTCCTACAGTGCACAGCTAGTGTCACCCATGCAGTCAGTGACACAATGGAAGAATAAATTCCTTCCTTCATGCATGACCCCTTCCTCCATGTATTTCACCAAGGCCATGGTGACACTGACACTGTACTGTGGAAGTGACAAGACAGTGACATGATCAACATGATGATGCTTTTCTTACTAAATTATAAATGAGTTTATCAAACCATCATGAACTTATAAAGAATTATCTACATCAAAACAAGATAATATATAGCGACTATCAATTGTCAGTCATACCCGACAATTTCAGAAATGTTGAAGTTTTCGAAAGAGATTAACGCCCCCATATCAGCTAGACTGCTATAGAGCATCCAAAGTGGAATTCCCTGTGCGCAGAAATCGTTCGTTTGTTCTTTTGGGCGAACGAAGCGTGATCACGGTCGTGATTGGTCAACACGGGGCGAACGAAGCACAATTTTATCAGTCTATCAATATTTGCTCGTTTGTTTCAGTGAACAATAAGTAGGTGCCCCTCAAAGGGGTAAGTTTTTTTCAAGATGAAAAGGAAAACAAATTAAAATAGAATTTGCAGTCAATCAAAATCATTTTCTTTGGATGCAAGTAAAGTGTCTTTCATAAGTTCCTGGCAAAAAAATAAACTACTTTTCGTTTTACCCCAACAGAGGAACACAAATAAAACGACCAGCCATTAACATTTCACAAGTTGGTTCACAAGTTACCAAACATACTTGAATACTTAAGAACCGATACCTCTTTTGAAGCTCGGAGTCGCAGTAGGCATCCAAGGGATTGGCCCTATCCCTAAAAACCCTCTCTCTCGCCGGAGACCTCTACGAAAAGCTTCCTCCACCATGGCAGCCATTCTCCATGTAGATTTAAGCATGACTTAGTGCAGTTACGTATGACCTAAACCTTCGTGAAACAGAATATGACCTCGAATCTACGCATGACTTAGCCATTTACGTAGGACTTTGGGCTTTACGCAGGACTTTACACAGGACTTAACTCTTTGTGAAACACCCCCTGGACTAATACACATTTTGATAGAAGCAAAACTTTTCAATCATTTTATGTCTGTTGTTTCCACTGCAGATCGAGCAAGGATCAAAGTGATATAGTGGACACCCGGCCCTTCACTGAGTGTGTGGGGGGGGGGAGGGGGAGGGGGCGGGAGTGGACACTCATGTTGGAATGAGGACCAGGAGGTGAGTATACAAGCTGTATACAACTACAAGCACGGCTGGTGGCGCCCTCCGTAAATGCAGACAATCAGAACAATGTATAAAAGAGAGAGAGTAGGGACAGTGACAATCAAAACCAAATTTATTTGTTCAAATACATCATCAGCGGCGTAACAAGAGTGGGGGAGGCTGGGGCCGGACCCCCCCCCCTCCTTCCCCACCCCACCCCCATAATTTAGGACAAAATATACATTAAATAAATGGTTAGATAAATTAAATAGCACCCCCCCCCCCCCGCCCACCGGTTTGAAGGAGAAAAAAATATGTCATTGACACCCCACCCCCTGTTAGATTTCTGGTGAGATTTCACTGCAATTTATGTTGTATGTGAGGTTTTTATGGAATGTTTTGTGAAATATCGTGCTTTTTAATCCACCGTTTAATCCCGAGCTAAGAATAGCGCAGGTTATCCGAGTTATAATAAGACCTTGCCATTGTTGATAAAAAAAAGTGCGCCGGTTGGTATGGACGGCCGAAATTCAACATTTTCGGTAAAAGATGTCATGATTGACATGATTCCATGATTGGTTTATTTGTTTCCAATAAATTCAACACTATTTTTGAAAATTTGTGTAACATTGCTACAAACTATGGCTATCTGTTTTGATTTGCAGTTATGGCTTTCCATAGTTTTCCAACCTCAGTTGACAAATATGCTGGCTGTTAAATTGAAATAGAAAGGTCTTTATCGATACTGGGCCGATTTAAAAATGGCTGATTTGTGTCAATTTGATTTGTAAGCAAATTGTGATGTCACAGTAAAGTCAACTCATCTTAAAAATCTTTTAAGTGCTTTATAAAAAAAGTTCATCTGATGTTCACTGCCTCAAGCTTGCCGTAACCAAACAGCTATTTATGTCAAACGGGAGAGGGCCATGACTATGTTTATATTGCTGTAGCTTACGAATATTAAACTGAGAAGTAAACAGTGTTTTTTTAGTTAGTCTCCCATATGGCGTTACAAAAAAAGATGCTGTATTGCCCTTTGCGACCGACCCCAAAATCTTGAAATCTACGGTCGGCTTTTTATTGTACCGATTTTTAGGGGAAAAAAATGTTTAATGAATAAAAAAAATATGTATTAAAACTGAGAAATATCATCTCAAAGAGGGAGAAAGAAAAACAAAATTAAAAAGAGAGATTTCCGACCGACCGACCGACCCATGTTTTGGCACCTAAAGGGCAGTACAACATCTTTTTATTTTAAGCCTAGTGGTTAATATATTAACACAGCGAGCTTAATCAATGTTTCAGTTAACATTAAACTACGGCTGGGAAAATGTTTCCATATTTTTGTTGTGAGAAAGATTGTTTAATATCCATCTGGGAGGCCAGCTGGTCTGTAACGGTTAGGGTCACCGCCATTGCGCCCCCATCTGTTGGCTTCCTGGTCTGCTTGGGTATCCTTGGCACCACGGCCGCTCACCCCTCCCTGCCATCCTTCGCGGGCATCGCTGAAAATAACCACAAAGCAGAGAACATTGTTGGTATAAACACACTACTAATAGAGAATGTAATTATACATGTCCAATGGCGTATTTAATTATACATGTCCAATGGCGTATTTAACTATACATTCTCATTTAAGGGGAAAAGAGGGTAAAGACAAAGTCTAATTTGTATAAAAACATTCGTTTGTGCATTATTATGTTCAATCCCAATTGGGGTTGAGGTTGGAGGGGTAGCTATAGTGAGCAGGGAAGACCTTCCGCAACGGCCCTGCTTCGACCCCCTGATTACGCCAATGTGGTTGGAAAAAGAGCATTTCAAATTAATATCATGTAACGGGAACTATTGGTGTCCCTGCATTGTGCATCAAACATTAGATATTGGCAACGTTTGTCTATTTGTTACTTTTTAAAATTTAAAACAAGCCATATGCGAGATTGATTGTCTTGGTACTGATCCCTACCTGATAACTCTGGCAGCGAATCTACCTCCTGATCCTCGCTGAGAAGCTTCGTAGTTGCCCCGGGCATGGAAGTACTTATCGGCACCAATGGTGTTTGCCTCACGCATATCACTGTTGAGTTTGTAAAGAAGCAATGGACAGTTTTCATTAAGATATTTCAAACTCAATCTCTTGTTTCAACCCTGCCGATATATTCGGTAACTTAATAGGATTAATGGGATTAATGGGATATTGAGAAGAAAAAAATAAAAGACAGTGACAGTCATATAGTATGAGTTAGTATACATAGTCATAATACGACTTATAATATGACGTAGAAGACAGTGTTCTTATTAAGTTATATTGATTTGGAAGTCATAATTATGACTTGTAAGTCATGAGATGTATTGGCATATAGTTATGACTTTCATTTTCTCTTAGTTAGCCCAGTGAAAACGAATTCGTTTGTTAAAATTATGAAAATGTAAGGGCTACTTAAAACAAACAGAACTTTGTTAATCCTGGCTCATTTTTCTTGATTGAGGTATTATGAAAGAGCAGAAAATGAACTTTCTAGAAATAGGAATTTTTCTTTGAAATTCAGATACCGCCCGCCAAATTAATTTTTTGTTTCCTTCCTTCAAATTGCTTTTAATCACTCATGCGTGAAATATGCATCACGTAAGTAGCATCAACTGAAAGAGGAGACTCTAAGCTTTCCAAATATGTATCATTCATTAATTATAGTTGTGATTAAGGTATGATAAAAAAAACATCGATACTTCTCGGTTTCGTTTTTTCTGGGACGCACTCTATGGTTCGGGTTAGATTATCTTTGAATTTACGCACCTGTAGCTTCGCCACATGTCGCCTGCTCCACGAACGGCTCCACTAACGAAGTCGCCTGCTCCCCGAAAGGCGTCACTGACGGCGTCTAACCAGGATGCTTCAGACGGCACAACCAGCACCCCAGCCATCAAAAGAGCAATGATACTAACGGCAATCCTCATCTTTGCAGGCTTGAAAGAGTTTTCACTTGCATAAACAATTTTTTTCTAAAGGCAGCCTATAGTTGTCCTGCTGGTAATAGAATGAACAGATTTGACCCGAACCTCTTTTTATCTTAACTACAGGAGCTGTGTGGGAGCAAAGGGTAATGGGTAATCACAACATGATATGAAAAGTCAACAACAATAAGCTTAATCATTTAATACAATGTTAAATTTGCATTGAAGATAAAGAATATAGCAATCAGACATTTTCTTTTCTTTTCTTTTTTCATATTTGTGTTCTTCTGTGTATGTCTCTCTCTCTCTCTCTCTCTTTTGTTTTGTTTTGACCCCCCCCCCCCCTCGTTACGCCACTGATCAAAATAACAGCTGGTTATGCAAATACACTGATTCATCAAGATGACGTCAACATTATTAACTTAAGAACACGGTCCTTTTCGTGTAAAGCAGATTTATATCTTTAGCGTAGATTAATAATGTTTAATCCATCGTATTTAAGATGTTGCAGACGTTTGGTAATTGGAGCCAAGTGATTGTGTTAATCATATATAAATGTATTGTACATGCAATGAAACTAACTTGTGAAAATTTCACTTCAAAAGGTGGTCGCGTTTTTTAGATAATATATCACCGAAAATCCGGAGCGAATAATTCCACGCAGGAAGAATATTCCAAATAGGAATACACAGTATCTAACAGAAACGCTTCTCACATTCAATTTGGGGGAAATAAAAAGTGTTATATTTTTCCATATAACCGTAGTATTTCGAAGTTAAAAGTTTCTTAAAAATTCATTTTCCTACCCAAAGCTGCAGTACTTCTTACCAAGTAAGTTTTTTTTTTTGCCATTAATTTTCACAGTCATTACCAAACGTGTACTGAGCCTTTAATGGCTTGTGAAAGAAAACAAGTGGATTGTTATTGTGGTATATGTTCTGATTAACAACTTTATGTAAACTGGCCCTTCGTGACAAAACTTAATCGTTGTCAGTTTTATCCACCTAATCTTTTCAAGGAAAGATTAAACAAATAAAGATAAACAAGAAAACCAGGAAAAGATAACTGACAATTCAACAATGGACAATTAACAAAGGACTCAGTACCGTGAAAAAAAAATTAAGTATTGCGTCATCAATGGTGTATCAACGAGCCTTCCCCCTCCCCGAACCCTTGCCTCCCCCTTTTCCCCCAATGAGATATCAAACATTTCCGAAATAAATGGTTCGACATATAAATTGCCCCCTCCTCCAAAAATTAAAATATATACACTGTCTTCACCCCCCCCCCCCCCCCTCCCTTCCCTTCCTCCCTTATTTCTATACCACTAGGCAGTACAAAATAAGGGGGAAAGTGTATCTACATTACGGAGAGGTCAGAAATGATACAAGGTCTGGCCTCTTCACAAAGAACACATATAAACAAATAGCTACAATCATGAGTTTTCATATAAAATAAAGTAATAATTATTATGTTATTGATATTAAATTAATCTAACAATAAATTCATAACCTGATAGATCAATAAATACAATTTTTTGCAAAATCCAATCATCTTTAACTAAAGGTTATAAGTAATTGTGTCACATGGCAATTCAAGAAATACTTATCTAAAGCTCCTAATTATCATTAACCAAAATTGAGAAGAAGTTTTAAAACTACTTCTTACGTACTCTAATTAAAGTCAGTGGGCAGGAAGAACGAATTTGGTTTCAAAGGAGAGGTTTCTGGTATCTTACAGTGTTCCTTAAAAAAATCTCTAATATTCAAGGTTAAAGATACACTTTGTAATGGTTGAGGAGGAAATTCTGTCTTGGGTTAAGATTTCCACCAATTAAAACCGGCGGTCGTTAGCGCTGTACATTGTCGTGCTTACGGTTTCCTAGGAACCAAATAAAACAATTAAAACAATTGGGTAATAATTATAAGCATGGCCTTGACTTCATCGACCTCGCAGTTAGTTAGTTGAAATTTACGGGGACTTTCCCTTTCTCTATTGTTTGTTGGTATACCTCACAATAGTTTTTTGTTTCTACCTCCTCCTATCAGAGAATTTTATTTACAGCAATTAGAGGGGGAAAACTATTTAAAAATTGCACATGGGTAAACAACGTTAAAAAAAAATAGAAGCAGTAGGGGTGTCATATTTCAATATGGACACCAAACAATTGCGAGAATAAGCCAGTTCATAGATACAATCTGCGCTTGGGCAGATAAAGGTCATTTGTACCAAAATGGTAAAACCCACACTGAGATGAATATTGGATATGCGCTCATGAAAGTTATGTAACATTATTCATTTATGTATCAACGGTACATTCTATGATACGCAGGTGGAAGTATTCTTTTCAAGAGGTCAAACAAAAGGTATTCATGAATCACATCTAGGACTTTGGCAGTTATTATTCTAAGATGCTCAAAGTGGAACTTCTCCATGTGTAAAAGATCTGTGGATATTTGGGGTCATTTTGTACCATGTGCTATCTGTAAACTCCCTTATTGAGGGGAAAAATTAAATAAATAAACAAACAGATACAAATATTAAAACATTAAGTATACAACACAAATAATGAAAACAAATAAGTAAAGATTGTTTTCTTACAACAGCTATTCATTTTCTCGTCATGCTTATGTAAATAGGAAATTTAAAACAATTGCTACGCTAACCTCAGTCTTTTGGTCGAAGTCCAGTGATCTTTCCATCACATTTTATTGTATTGGTATGAAAATACTAGGTATCTTTGAGTCCAATCGAAATGATAATAACATTTCAATTTGACTGAGTCACGGACAGGGGAAAGATAGGAGTTGTGAAGCCGGTAACATCTTCATTGTTTATCTTTGGGTTATTTGTATTTCTTTTGGTCGTTGGCTGTTTGTTGGATAAATTAATACTCCTATAATTTCACTAATGTCTGCGTGGTCTGTTTACATACCACTAGCTTGATACAATTTATTTTCCTTTTATTGATTTCCTGCCTAGCTGTGAAGTGTGAAGAGCGTCACGCAATCGGGAATCCCCGTTATATTTACAATGATTACACTACAAGTGGAACTCCGTGTCTCGTGATATGACTTAATTGCTCTTGTGTAGAACACAACAGTGTCTCGTGGATGGAAGTAAATGCGCCATATTTACTTTCTGTAGCAGTCTCCGTTAGTAAGGTGAGTTATCAAGCTAAAAATAGTCTCTCATTTTGTGACTCTCTTTGTAGATGCTTTGCTAAAACATTGTCATGGATAGATCTAGTCAAGAATGTCCTTCTTTAAGTTTTTGTTGTTGTAATGTTTAGAATATCACTTCTGTAGCATCAACTACATTTAGTTTAGTGTCAAGCAATGTCAAACGCAACCGCACACACTTTCGTGACGACACGCATAAACAAAAACACAGCCAATATCTGCATTTACGTCTTTTAATTGAGCCCCCCCCCCCCTTCCCCACTACGGGAACGGATCGAGGGACCGCATTCATGTTCCCCAAATCTCCGGTAAAGGGGTACTTTTCACGCAACAAAGTCCGGGTCGTAATACACATAAAAAATCAGCCCGCTTTGACGTTACACACCAGACATTGGGGGTGCTTTCAAAGGGAGGGAACATGCATACACTTACCCTAAATAACACCGAGGGGGGGGGGGGCTTTGTTCCAACGATCGTCGTACATCAGTGATGGTGAAAATGGTTTAACTGTAATAAGACAAATGAACAATATAGTATAACAGTTCGTTAATTTAAAAGCTTTAATTAGTCAAGGAGTAATCGAAACAAATTGAAGTCGGCCGTTAATCATGGATCTCCAATAATGACATGGTACTACAATGCAGTGGCGTACGCAGGATTTTTTCAAGGGGAGTGTTTTAAAATTGGATTGCATCATTAATGTGACCCCTTGAAATATATTTGGCGGCGAATCAGCCAGCTGGTGAATAAGCGGGGGGGGGAGGGTATAATGTCAACTATATTTTATTTTTTGCCCAATTCGTGAGATTTAATTTGGCAGCGAATCAGCCAGCCGGTGAATAAGCGGGGGGTGGGGGATGGGGTTAAGGAGCATTTTTTTTTGGTACTCTAAACGGGGATTGGGGATAATGTATACTTCACCCTTGTGAGCAAAAACAAAAACAAACAAAAAAGCTTTTTTACCTTTTTTTTTGGGGGGGGTAAGGGGCTGTAGATCTTCTACTGACAGACACATTGAGGGGGGTTTGACCCCCAAACCCCCACTCCCCTGCGTACGCGCCTGGTACAATGTACATACATGATTTGCCAGTAATAAACCTGATCATAAGTAGTATAATAGTGCTCATATGACTTGGTAAGTAATTTAACACTGGATCATGGAATAAAATATATTTAATCACAAAGTAATCAAACGAAAAATTACTTACAAAAATAATATAATAACAATAATAGTCCTTATATGTCATTGTGATTGTAGTAATGAGATATAATCATCATTATCATTATGTTAATAAGTAGTATTCTTACTATCATTATTATTACCATTTGTACTGTTATTATTATTATAATTGACATTATCATTGATGTTTTTTATATAATATCAATGACAACAATAACGATAATAATGATAAGTATTATTATTATTATTACTATTATTATTATTATCATCATCATCATTCTTGTAGTTTTTAATCATTTCTTTTTCTAATTCTTCTTAAAACTGTCTTCTTTTTCATAATCATGGTCATCACTATTATTACTATATTGACATATATATATTGCCATATATATTATATTGACACCGCGCCCAATCGTTTCTCTCTTTACAGCTAAATCAATCATCAATCAAGCTCCATAACAATTTCGAGTCAGATTTCTACTTGAGTTTTCATTGTTTGGGAGCAGAATGGCAGGGATCGTCCGTCAACTATTCATAAGATGTGCGTCACTTGCACTCCTTCTTTTGTGCCCTCTTGATTGTTCCTCTCAGCCTGCAATAGATCAGAGACATTGCGAATGCACATCCACTTTGTTGTCAGGGGACAGTTCTGACGTATTAAGTGGAAGATGTCTCTGTCCGGAGTATGGGATATTTTCAGACGACATACTCCAGAATATCTTGCATCTTCAGCTTAATTACTCTCAACCAGTCGTTCTT